TTCAAAATCTTCTCTTCTACACGCCTAAACCTCCCCTCCACCCCCCTAACTTCTGGGATTGCTCATTCAAATCTGGTCTCATGCCGCCGCTGCCAATTGGAGTTGGGACTGCCGACCAAATTATTTTACCTTAGCTGGGGTCATTTTGGTTGGAATTAGAATGTCAAAGGTTTATTTTAAAAAAAAAAACTTAGGCACGCTTTACCCTTTTTGCCCCCAAGAGGTAGTCTAACGGTAAAACGGACTCTTGGACTAAGTGAGGTCTTAAGTTCAAATTTTACCGTAGACTTGAACCCCGTCTAACTTGGGTGCGTCGTGGGGGGCCGCGGCGTATCCCGCAGTTTGATGTGTTGGTTTGGGTTCTAAGTTGTTTGAGTCGGGACATGTTTCAGGTTAAAAAAAAAAAAAAACTATGCAGTTTTCATCACTATACATAATCAATCCACTCTTTGGTCCATCAATTTTCCATTTCTTCACCTTGTGCACCACGGATTAATGGAAAACTTATAGTGCGGTTTTTTTTATGTATAGTTACTCTATCATTACCAGTACAGCTTCCAAACTTCTTGTAAGCATACGTCTTTTTCAATTCAATTCTAGTAATTGCAGAAAGATAATGAGTAGAGGACGACATTGAGAAGATCGATGAACCAGAAAAACATCCACCGACCTAAATCCACTGCTCCGCCTTTACATGAACTTTGATTTCGGATTTATGCCCTATTCCTCATGCGACGACGCGATGGTAAACTTCCGCGTCATCGCCACGCATTCAATATGGTAACTATCTAGCTAGCTTACGTACAAGCAACTTAAAAATGTAGAAATTTCCCAACTCAGACCTGAGTCAGATTTTAGGGTCTCCAAAGTTTTGAATTTGTATTTCGAACAAACTCCAATCTTCAGTTCAAATTCAGGAGCATTTTGGTGATTAAAACTAAATTTGAACAGGCCAATGAGTGCATATTGAGGTTTTAGTCTAGTGTTGGGAACAAACAAGACTAAGATTTGCAGAGATCATGGAGTTTTTGGGAGTTTTTATAAAGATATATATTGTAACAATGTGGTGTATATAAGATAAAAAGGATATCGAAAAGGAATAATTTCATAAACTTTCCCAAGGCTTTTGACTATTTCACTTAGTTCCCTTGAAGTTTTAAAAATTATACTTACCTCCATTGATTTGACACTTTGGTAACCAAACCTTAAAATAAGGTAAAAAATTTAATGAATACCCTAAAATGCCCTTACCTTATAAAGTTCAATTCATTCTTCTAAACAATTGTAAAGTAATTTGACACAACTAAAAAAAAAAAAAAAGGAGCCTCAAGTTTTTCATGCCGATATTTGTTATTTAATGATCAACTATAACAATAAATCTTTTGTTATGATAAGCTATTTTTTATAGTGCTTTATTGGGAATATAGATTCTTTTTAAGATAGAGAAGAAAGTGTTACCTTGTGCTTTTAGGTTTATAGCTACTTTTTTTTTTAATAAAAGTTTATGGACTAGGTTAGTGATGGAACTACCATAGTTTGGTAGTGATTTTGGGCAATTTGTTTTTAATTATTGTTGATTCTGATACAAAAAAAAAAAGAGTTACAAAAAAATTGGATGATATTAAAAGTCGTCAAAAAAATTGCTGGTTTACGTTTGATCTGGATAGATGTTAGCAACAAAATTGATAGTTCTTTTATACTTCTAATGATATATAAGAGAAATTAATGAAACTTGTTAGGAGGGCACAAGTCGGAAAATAAAGTAGTCTCACATCCTCGATCCATAAGCAACTATTTTAAATAATGGCAAAATTTTTTTTAATCCATAATTCCATTAACACTAAAAATTTGAAGGGTTTTATAGTAGTTGTTTAAATTTGTCTATTTACTCCGGTGAGTGGCTGGAAGGGGCCTTGGTGTGTACATTGAAGGTAATTCAATCAAACCAAGTCAAAATAAAAACTACGAGACGAGAGCTAAGGGACAAAACGAAAGAAGAAATGTTCAGAAGAATGCAAGGCTGGAGAGTGTTGCGCACCGATCTTTTCATTGAAAATCACCGGATATTATTATTAGTTTTCTGAATTGTTATTGAGTAATTGGTGTTCCATTCCATATAGAGGTTGCTAGATAAGGCAAGGCTAGCTTTATGCCAATTCGCATGCCCGCAAAATCAGAGCTCCAAGATAAAATGATGATATGATTTTTTTTTTTTTTTTTTAAAGGCTAAGTAGCAAAGCCGGGGAAAAACGTTTGACAATTAAGGTTGTGTTTGAATTGCATTTTTCGTTATTTTTCATGGAAAAAATACTGTAACGATTTGATATATGTGAGGGAAAAAGGTGATAGGGAAATGTGATCACGGAAAATGATAACATTTTCGGACGGAAACAAGCAATCCAAGCATGGCCTAAAAGTTACCGCTACCTAACAAGTAGGATTGCTGCCCACGAAACTCCCTCAAAAATCAAAACCGTGAAGACCAAAATGAAAGTTGTTTTTGCGTGATATGAAAGAAGAAGATGGGTTTTGACATTTTTGGCATGCAAAATTCTTCTGACTTCGTGATACATATCTACGTGTCTTTTACTTGCAACTCAATTAAGCATGTTTACTTTATATGCCGTATGGGTTGGTGAGTGTAGCTTTTCGTACGTGTTGGAGTCTTCTCTCTCTGTACGTATAGTTTGCACTTGTAAGTCAAAAGTGCGTATAAATACAACACTACTACTACTACTACTACATCTTTTAAATAAATAAAGTGAATTCAATATTAACAGTAACGATAGTGACCGTGCGTCTGAACAGTAAATTATCTGAGATAATTTTTAAAAAACATTTTTAAATATGATGCACGTGAGGTAAATATAATTAAATTAGACGTCAATCATTTTTATTTATATTATCTATCGTATTTAGGTGTACGGAAATTTGATTTGTCATACTATACAATTGTCAAAATATACGCTCGAGTTCAAATCAAAGTTCATCAAGTTTCAACGCGTGATCCTTGATATATGTAGACGGCTGACCTGCTGGATTGACTGCTAATTGGCTATCTTTGACCATCGTGTTAGTCAAGCCTTGGAAATTGTGTAAGAGGGATCTCAGCCTAGCTATATGCCGATCGAGGGACCTTTATTCATCATCAAATTAATTAGGGTTAATTACATTTATCTCCCCTGATGTTTGACCATATTACCAACCAATCCCTGTAATTTATCCAAATAACGGTCTCACCCTTTGAATGATCAAACATTTAACAAAAACCCCCTTAATGCCGAAAATGCCCTTTTTGAGGCCATATTGCATTAAAAAAAAGAACATATTTTTATTTATTAACCTTCAAGTAATCCAAAAAAATAGAAAAAAGTTTTTGCTTATTATTTTATAAAAATCATATCTTTGCTTCCATAAATAGTTTTGAATTAATAATTATTTTAAATCTTAAAAACGAATATTAAAAATTAGATAAATTGAAAGAAAAATAAAAAAAAGAAGCAATTATTTTAAATCCTCAAGTATGATTCGAATTTGTGGTTCAAGGCATGTTGCGGAGAGCACAAGGCATGTTTTCCTTATATATATGCGCGCGCGCGCACACACACTACAAATTAGAGAGTTGAAGCAGTGTTGGACTAATTTTCAAAGAGAAATTATATATATATACACCACACACTGCAAATTATGGAGTTGAAGCAGTGTTGGACTAATTTTCAAAGAAGAGGAATTTTTTTAGGTTCAAAAAAACTACTAGTAAAGTAAGTATAAAGAGAATGGCTTGCCAAGACGACAGCGGACCACGATAGGTGTTCAATCTGTTGGCGGGGAGTAATATTCAAGCAGCAGCCACGACGCACGGGTTGGGTAATTCCAGAAGTTTTCAAATCCTATTTTATTTCTCGTTTTACCGTTCTAGAAAAATGCCACTGATCCGGAGATAGATATAATATAAATAGTGCGCAAAGAAAATTACTAGCCGTCACCAACGGGTATCTTTGGATAATTACCTGACACATTATGAAACGAGGCAGCAATTGAGCACAAATGGAGTTGAAACCTAGAGGGGGTAAAATTCTTAAAAGCACGCTTGATGAAATGTTTTTTTTTTTTTTGGACTTGACAAAAGGGAAGGCATGATAAATTTTCTCTCCTCTCCACATCTTGATGAGGTCAGAGGAAAGAGAGAATATTCCTTAAATAATGAAAAATTCACAAATGTATCGTCATCAACACGCACAAAATCTGCTCACCTGAGGCTGAGGGCCGAGACAAGTTCACAAATGGAATGAATACATGTGGTCAAGGAAGACACAGGTCAACCAAATCGTGCTTTTGGATTCGCATAGCCACGAGGAATTTGCGAGTCAGAGAATTGGAATGGAATTATGATTTTCTTTCGGATTTTTCAAGTACCACAAACAAACTAGCAAGTAGTAGTAGTAGTAGTATTTGTCTTGGACACCATTTTGTCTCGCATTGTCCGGCTGTCTTCCAAACTCTTTTATAATTCCAATTCCACGCTGAGAGTGAGTTCCACATATCCTTATCCTCATTCTAAGATTCTACCAAAACGTTTCTTTCTCGCCTCCTCTCCCGGTCGTATGTAAGATCTGATAACACTTTCCCGGCAGTTTCCCGGTTGACAAATTCTTGTTTGCCATTTGAAGCCACGTGACGACGCGCGACGCGCTGCTTGGATCGTAAGTAGTACTACTGATTAATTTGAAGTTTCCCGTTGGTTGGTTGGTCCGTTTGTTCCTTTCTATCAACACATTTTCCATCCACCGCACCACCACGTACGTTAAATCGTTACATTGCGTTGTTGCGTCACGCGGTGTGTCGTGCTAATAACAGTTATGTTTAATGTTTGTCTGCCTGTTAAATTAAAGAACGTGCGACTGCATCACCGAAAGCTTTTTTTTTTGCAAGAAAATGGATGGCTGCATGAAATAGTGGGTGAAATTGGACGGGAGAAAGATACAGCTTCCACGAGCGAGTATGCAAAAAATATCAATTCACAGACGTCTCAAGGAGTAGTAGTATTATATTTTATGGAGTGGGTGGGAATTGGGAAAGGAAAAATAAACAAATTGCAAGCTTAATTGGATTGATGATGATTGCTCCATTTCGGATCATCTTTCCCCTTCCAAACAAGTCCAATTCAACCTTTTCTTTCTAGCTTCGGCACGATTCAATGCCATCATCTTCAAACAATAACAACATTTTCTGTTTCCACCTTCAGCTATGGAGCCACCACCACCACCTCCAGCTTTCGAAACTCAATTCAAGATTCTCAACCACCCCTTGCGTACTACTAGAAGAGTCCACAGAAGAAGATAGAGCCTAAGAAGAAACAACTGACACCCAAACTTTAAGCAAAAAGAAGGCAATTCATGTATGAACGCGCGCCGGCCGGCGCAGTCAAGTCTGCAACTGAAAGTCCGAAGTTGCTGCAGCTAACTATGGTCGTTGCCAGATCATCCTCAAATGTTCAGGTGTGACTACTTCACAAGAATTGTATGGTATAAAACAAACAAAGAAAGCAAGAAAAACATGAGCCCCCAAAAAAAAAAAAAAAAAAAAAAGCTAATAACCACTCAAAAAACTCTTGCTATCTAAAATCAACATCGTGCCACCCGTGGATGAAACAGTTTAATCATGATCCATACATACAGCATACGAAAACGTTTAACACTTGAGAAAAAATATTTAAGTTACCAAAAATCAAACTATCCTGCGACTCCTCATCAAAATCAAACTCGCTTTAAGCCATTTTACATGCAGTCCGAGGCATCCTTTTGACTTCACCTCGTGAAACAGGGAGCGGTTTAAGGTTGCCCCCAGTGCATACTAATTAAATACTATTTAGTAAACATGTTTCCTGTCGCCAGACATATTCATATTTAGTCAAATATATACCAAACAAAGCTTCTGCCACTAATCTTTATCCTGACTAACTGTTCAAAAGGCGGCATTAACTTTTTTACCTGTTACGAAACGAAAACCTCCAGATTCTAAACTAAACTAATGCACAATTTTTTGAAGCTTTACAATCCCGTTTCATCTTCTCCTCCATGCAATACACAATGCCATCTTGTTTGTACACTTCAATTTGATCAGAATTCGTGCTTCCCAAATCTATCTGACTAGTTTTTGCATCTGTTCTTTCACGAGACATGGAAAATGGGACTGCACAAATTTTTCAAAGCAACAAAAATCTGGGGGCTCCTGTATCAAAATCTCCAGAAATGACCCTTAAGAAACTTTGACCGGCATCATGGCAACCCCCAGCTAATTCCCCACTTACATATTGAAATTTCCAATTTCTAACTAACACATCCCCATTAAACAGTTCAATGAGAAAGATTTCGAGGCACAACAGTTCATCTTGCCACTCCCAGAGTACTATGCAGTCATAAAATGAAATTTATAGTCTCACCTCTAAAACTTTTTGCCTCCTCGTTATTGCCTTAAAGATATTCGTCGAACTCGGACAAATTTGGCCGTGAATCTGCAACTTCTGTATTCCACATCTGCAGTTTTGGATAGACAGACAACTTCTAGTTCTAGCCAAATCATATTGAAGTTTTACTACTGTATTTTCAGCTCATGACTACTGCTGCTTCCTACAGATAAATGTTACCTCAGAAAATTAGCAAAGTTGGCAACCAGAAACAAGGCCCAACAATACCCTGATTACCTACCTCTTCATCTCGTTCTCACCCACCGAAAAAGAAAGACAAACTCGGAGAGACGATTGAATGAATTCAAAAAAGTAACATAGAGAATTTGCAAAACTTCTTAACATGTGCTGGCAGGTGTCAAGCTACAAAGCATGTGTTTCCCACTCAAAATCATCAAAGTTTTATAACTCCAATCCCTTGAACCATGACGATGGAAATTGCACCCTCGATTTTGCCCCTTTATAACTGTAGTTTGTAGGTGAGGAAAAGAAATAAAGCAAATATGGCGTTGGATCACGAAAATTCAAAACTGCCCTGCACACAAAGAGGTAAATCATGAGACTAAAATGCACATGAAAAATTGCTTATGCAACTAAGCACTTCCAACTTGATTTCCACACTCGGAACATACAAGGCTACACCCTTCCTAATTTGAGCCACAGACTAAATTGAGGATAAGTTAACATAATCACAAGCGCAAGGAGAAAAATCTCCTCATGTCCAAAACCGGCTACAAACTTCACTCGAGAATCTCCACTATTGACTTGCCCTTCCGAAGAAGTGTTCTATTTGCAAGCACCCATGAGACTGGAAACTACTTGGTTTGTCTCCCACTTTGCATTTCTTTGTGCTTGTGAGATTTTCTCTGTTATCCTACTCAGAAAAAAATTGAAACAGCAGGAGTTAAACATCTTACGTAAGATTAACAAATATGTTAAGTATGTTGGAGATTATACGATTAATAATTAAAAATCTCACTCCAGCATCTAATTGGTCATTTGCAAACTTAACTACTGGTAGTCACTTGGCAAATTAGTTGTAGTTATTGTTAAGTGGATCACAAATGACGTATCCTGAAAGAGTGCAGCAGGTGTTTTATTCTTTTCTCAAAGATCAGCAAAAAAGGAAGTGCAGAAATTATGTTGATGTAAAGTATTTAGGCTCTCCACAAAAGTATACTTCCATCATACCATGCACAGAACTCAAATTAACCAAAGATGTAAGACTATATAAAGAACTTCAAATGAAACTCCTGATCAAACGAATGGGAACTCTTGAATATAAACTTCAACATACATAGTGAATCCACAATGTGATGACTATGGAAACTCACCAATGATGACTGATTGAGAGATCTCAAAACTTTAATTCTGCCACCCCTACCATCAGCTCCGACAGCAATCAAGTCTGCCGTACTTGCATTTGAACCTTGCAGTCCCGTAGACAGAGATGCTTGACCCTTATTCCTCTTGCACCATTTCCCCAAGTGCCATTTAGTCCCATCAGGACCTAGCAACCCCCCAGAGAAACAGTGACTTCCTGCATTTGATGTAACAAGTATCTATGAAATGAATGCTCTAGATTGATGGTATGTTTAAGTTATAAAATCATTGCAAAGAAACCAGAAGAACTGCATCCAAAAATGAGATTCAAGACAGAAAAAATTGTCCTTGTATCATAAGAGGTATTTGACATGCAACATGGAAAATCAGGAGAGGTCCTACAAACTTAAAAAGTCATTTTTACTGGTAGATCATGTCAGCCAATAAAGAGGCGTTCTTTCATATGAGGACAACCAGAGAAGTTTTAGACAAATCAAAGAATACCTGGCTGGGAAACTACAGCTGGTAATGGAGTTTCTTTTCTAACATTCAGCAAAGACTGAGGTAATCCCATGTCATCATCTAGTATTACCATGTTATTATCCACCATATCTGCTCTGTTCTCGGTATTAGGCTTTGTATCTCCCACAGCACCTGATGCTCCATCCATGCTGCCATGTCGCTCAGCTTGGATTTCACTTAGTGTGTCCCCTGTCCTTGAGCCACTCTTCCAGGCCGCCCCTCTATTTTCAGCTAAAGGTTTCAATTGTCCACACGAGTTCAAGTGAACAAAAGTCTCCCTCGCATTCTCAACTTGATTATGCAAGAAGTAGCCTTGATCCTGATTAGCTGGGTTAATTTTCCTGGGAACCACATTATCAGTTGTACTTCTATTACTTGTAAATCCAGAAGAGTTAAGCTTCCTTTTCTTTAGTGAACAAGATGAATTCTCCGATGTGCCCATTTCTGTTTCCGGAACAGGTTCCTTGTTTTGATCTCTGCATGAAGTTACGTCATTTCTGCTACCCTGGTCGAAACCCTTAGCAAGTTTTTCTACCTCACAAGCAGATTTTCTAGAAGCTTTCAAAGTTCTCAAAGTTTCATTAACTTTTACTTCAGCAACAGATTCAAGTTCCTGGATCCTTTCCTATTTAGTGAGGAATATTAGTCCGCATTATATTGCACAAAAAAAATACTTGAATCACTTTAGAGACTGACAAACCTTCAGCTTCTTTATCTTATCTTTAGCCTTCTCTAGTTTACTAAGAGACCGAGCCTCTCCTCTTCCAAGCACATTGCACTTAGTCATCAATTCTTTGTAGCTCCTGTGAAATCCACACAAGGACTATCATCCCAACCACACCAAGAGGAGACAACTAAGGAAGCAAAAGAGGCATATAAAATGGATTTCTACCAGTTAACATGTACAGAACCAGCTGAAAGGCCATCAAAGACAATCAAAAGAAGGAAATTGCTGGAAAATGAAATACAGAATGAAATTGATGCTATTATATCTTGTTTTCTTTCCAGAAACATAGGCACATTAAAATGAAACAAGTCAACTTTCTCTTTTACCTCTAGGGCAATGTATTTTCTTATGGAGTTTCCCGAGAGTAAAAGAATTGTGTTTGGCAGGTGAGTTCATTTCAAGAACGCAAGGAAAGACAACATTCTTTGAGATGTAAGAGGTCATTTCTGATGCACAAGCAGTGCGCACATGCATTTTAAAAAGCAAAATAGCTGAAAGGACAACATATTAAAGATGATTAGAACTTCTTTAAATATAACAGTCCTCAGACAAGGCTTGTTCTAAATAATAGACAAAAATGCTTAAACAGCTCAAACCTAACAATGATAGACACTAGTTTCTCTTCGATAATCGAATTAACAAGCTGCAGGATGACCTATCACACCATTTCTATGATACATAGATGGGTAAACACCAAATAAACCACTCAGGGCTACCTCTGTTTAGAAAGATTTAGATATACCACCATAATAAACTGTTAAGCTGGCATAGAATGACCAAGAACAGGTGTTATGCATGCCAAGGAGGGAAAACAAAAGGTGGACTATCTTTTAGTATGCACCTATCCGGTGATATTGCTGGTGCACCTTATTGCATGTTCAATGACAGGATGAGCAGATTGTGCATAATAATTGAGATGAATATGAAATGTTAGTCAATATTGATCTCTCTTATTTCGAATATAAAATTAAAAGCAATAGGCATGTCAAATTACTAGTCATGATAAGAAATAACAGGTATTTCCTTTTATAATTGCTTTTTCTGTTTTTGGATGATAACGGGTTGTGATATTAGCTGTTGAAACCACTGTCCGATCTTGCTGCCTTAATATCTTTAGAATGGCAGTCTCTGGATATGTTAATCACATTTGCTTCAAACAAGAATAAGAAGAGAGATGAGAAGAAGATCAAGTGTAAATGCTTGAGAATTTCTCTAAGATCAAGACATCATAAGCAATTAACAGCCGTGAAATCAACGAGCAACAATAATAACAATTATAGCACTGAATTCATACTTGTTACGGATGACCAATGATTTCTTCAGAACATCAATAGTCTCTTTGCTGTTGACCTCATTACCCAAGCATGCAAGCTTCAGAGCCTCATCCTCATCCAAGTTCAAATCAGATACTCTAAGTATAATCCCCAGAGCCACAATAAGTTAGTGAACCTTTTGAAAAGAAAATTGAAGATGTTCTAACTTGCTACTTCTGCAAATCACTTACAGCTTCAGTGCTGCAAGTTCCTTGGCTAAGGCCATATTCCTTTCCTGAAGCTTCATGCACTCCAAAGTTGATCGGTCCAACTCCTGCAATATTGTGACTAAACAGTTCAGCAGATTTCTTTGGTTGTGCCAAAAAAATGATGTAGTACTGCATCTTGTTCAAATAGAACGTAACCATCTACCTCAGATTTGAAATGCATCAGTTGCTGGATGGTAGCTTTCTGCTTTAGAGCTTCATTCTTTAAAGCCACCTCTACTTGGACCGTTTCCTTATACATGCACAGCTAAGGCAAAGATAGCCAGTGAGAATAAATTTCCTCAGATCATGATAAAAACCTCAAATTATATCAGAAAACAGGACAACTTTTTATCACTTGCAATTCAAGAAGAATGGCACAGGAGCCAAATTATCTAAAACTTAAGCCATTTCATCTTTTAAAATCTGTTGGATGAACAGGACATTTCAACCACGTATCTCATGTAAATGTGTTACAAGGTTCCTGAAGTGTAACTCTACAGAGAATCCGCAACACCAGAATGCAGCGCATTATGCAATGAACACTTGATTAAATATCAGAGATCACTAATATCAAGCATAAATTGCAGCAACCAGCTCAAAAGCTCTAGTAGTTCACGAATTCTTAACAGGAAGCATTGACCATCCATTTCTAATTACAATATTTCAAATTAAAACACCCAGTATACTATCAGGACAAATGCCCTTTTCTACCGCAATATAAAAATGCCTCCACTGAAAGAAAGCAGATAGATGAGATCACAGCTTAGGCTTCTTCGCTAGCTTTTTTAAAAAATTGAACTTCTACTGTTCTACACATACTCTGAAGAACACGAGTTTCATCACCACTAGCCACCCCACAAGGAAAAAAAATAAAAAATAAAAAATCCTCACATCATTGGAATTCGAACACAATCCCACCAGATAAAGGTCTCTGATCCTGGCCTTAGAACAAGGGTTCGATTCTGGCCATCCTTAATCAATTTCTGCTTCTTCCTTCCCAGTTCCCACCCTTCCTAACTTATAAAAGATGCATGACAAAACAACTCAAGCATTGGAGCATTCTACTTGTGAGCCGACATTCCATTTCTAGGCAACCAAACAGATCATAAGCAAATATAGTACCTCAGCATTGACAGCTTCAGAACTCTTCTGTAGCTGCTCCAAAGCTGAGCTAAGCCCTAGAACCTTCCCTTCCAATCTCCTCACTTCATTCCGCAATTCCTCGGGGTTCTCCTCATAATTCCCTGCTTTCTGAGTTAAACCCGGGTCATTCGGATCCCCAACAGATTGAAAATAAAGCCGACCCACGTTTGCATTGGAACAAGTCTGCTTGCATACGGGACAATTCTTCTTCTTCCCATTTGTGCAATACTCGAACCATTGCTGAAGACTACATTTTAATTTTCCCAATCAATTAGACACTGAGGATTTCATTTTTAACAAGAAAAATTAAAGTTGGAATTTGTCTGTTTGGATAAATAGTAAACAAAAAAGGGGTAATTTGAGAAATTATTATAGGGAAACTAACCAAAGCTCGTGAAAAACGTGGCCGCAGATGGAGATGGATTGAAGGTCTTCGACAATGGGTTTGAGGTCTTCATAACAGATTGAGCAGATGGTCTTGGCAAACGCCGTCTCCGCCGTACTATTGCTCCCGACCATCGCTCATTTATCTGGTATCCTGCGGCGGCAAAGGCAATAGTAATTGTAAGAAATGGCATGGGACTGAGGGGCTCTGAAATTAGTTTAAGTTTTCTGGGGAGGGAGGGTTCTGGAGCTTAGACTCTAGAGGGAGTGGGAGTGGAGGGAAGAGGCGGGTTGCCCAAATATTTTGGACCAAGAGACTGCGCGGGAACTACAAGGGGCGAATAATTTACATTGAAGAAATAGCAAGAAAAATTTTCCAAGGTGTATAAATAAGTGAAAATAATCAAATCCAATAAAATAAGGGATAATATCAAAAACCTCCCTTGAGGTTTTTCTTAATATCACTTGGCACTCTTGAAGTTTTAGAAATATTACTTACCTCCCCTAATAATCGTAAAAATAGTATATTAACCCTCATTTGACACATAATTCACAACATATCAAATAAATAGAACTCAAAAATTGGGAAAAAAAAAAAAGAAACAAAAGCCACCTTCTTCCTTTTCTCTTTTCTCCATCATTCTCTCTTACTCGTATTTTTTGAATGACTTTGCAATATTTTATTTGTAAATTATAATAAATTAAATTTTGTTTGCCTTTTACTTTTTGTGATTCCAATAAAGTGGAGTGTGGTTTATTTGCTTATGTTGAGTTGATTTTTATAATGATTGGTATAATTTATGGTTTGAGCAAGGGTTGAGAAGTTATTATAAAAAATATATAAATTCATGAGAAATCAGTTTTGAGCATATAGAATTAAATTGATGCAAGTGTATTTCTTTTCACGTACTTTTTTGAATTTTCAAATTTATATTTTTATGGGGTATACATTATGATGTAGTAGTACTCTAAGTGATTATTTTTGAGTTGATGGTTTTCTTGAAATGAACAAAGTGGTTTAGGAATATTTTTATTTAGCAAGTGAAAGGGTAGTTTAAGGTTTTTAAAAATTTTGTTACACAAATAACAAAAGTAAGGGAGGTAAGCGATATTTTTGAAACTTTAAGGGTGCCAAGTGATATTAAGAGAAATCTCAGGGTCGGTTTTCGATATTATACCTTAAATTAAATGGCTCCTTTTGGATTGTGGTTTGAGAAGTCTTGATTTACCCTCGGATTTTAATTTTATTTTTCTGGTCCGGTTGAAAAGTTCGCTTGTTTCTTTGCAATTTTGATTTTTTAAAAATCTCAAAATCTAAATCTAATCTTTTTTTAAAAAAAAAATTTCACTCATTTGGGATTTGGAGAAACTTGAAAATGTCAAGTCCGTTAGTTGTTTAAAATATTCTCAATACATCTTTTTAATCATCCTTTCACGTCACCCGCGTCATGTTGTTATAAGCAGTTTTTTTTTGTCCTGCAAAAAAGGAACTTATAAAAACTCGCAACCAATTCCAAACAGGGACCTAATGCAGTTGAGTGCGAGTATGCATCTAAGTAGCATAACTTCGTATGAGCACTTGCCAAAAAGGTGTCAAAATGTTGGAATTAGTTTGTTTGGACAGTAGATTATTTGCCCAAATATATTTGCTGACATCATCATTACAATTTTCAATACGGCTTTTTATCTTCCCAAATACCTTTTATTTCACATACATCACATCACAAAAAATGTTGCAGTAAAAATATCTCAAATAATTTACAATCCAAACTTCTTAACGAGCTGAATATGAAGGTAAAGGCATCAATTCATAATGAATGACCGGAAACTGGAGAGTTTTGCAGGGGATGGGTAATGGAGTTTATTGATCCTCCTGCCTATAGCATCTCTAGTATCAAGCCAAAAGCACCCCCCCCCAAGAGTCAGATCAGATCATCTACTGGAGAGTTTATGCTAAGAGCATCTCCAATGGGGGTGTAATGGGGTACACGGCTCCCCATTGGAGCCGTGTCATGCGGATTACACGCATCATATGTATGATGCGTGTAATCCGTTGATTTTTCTTCCCATGGATTACACGGCTCCCCATTTTGTTATTATTTGTATTTTATTTGATTTAACTTATGTAATATTATGTTATGGAGTTCAACTAATTACATTCCAAATTATTAATTAAGTATGGATTATTATGATATCTTCGCATTTGAAGTATCAAATATTTGTTTAATTTCCTACATAATTATTTTTAAAAAAATAACAATATATTATTTTTGAAACATAGAAAAAGATATATTATTCAAACTTAAAAATTAATAATATCATTTTTAGAAAATAAAAAAATTCAAAATGTACAAAATTTAACGAAAGTTAGTACTTTATTTTTTAAAAATAACAAAATTAGTTTTAAAAATTACTTTATTTATTTATAGGATATGAGTTATGCATTATTAAAATAAATATTTGATTAATTGTGGACCCATGCTATTACACCTTGTGGAGTGTAATCCATTGTGAGTGAAAGTGTAATAAAAGAGGAGAAAGTGAAATGCTGACGTGGCATGTGAATTACACTCCACAGAGTGTAATCCATTGTGGATGCTCTAATAGAAACTGGCCCATCAAGAAGTGAGTCATCATCAGTTCCCTGCATTATCATTTGTGGTGTAGGTTTCTTTCCAGAAGAGATGAAAGGACTTGGGTATTGTTGGACGAACCACAAAGGAAGGCTGAAATTTTGAAGTGTCCATGGTTTAAAATACATGCACCTGGAAAGGGCGGAAGCCGTAGAAGTGATTGGGAGACGCAAGATTGCCTCTGGTAGTGCTGGGGCTATCCCCTACCTGTGTGCCTCCTCAACTGACTCTCCATTTTCTGTGAGAATCTATTGGTCCTCATCCAGACACGACATCACAGTTTTTTATTTATTTATTTTTTGATTAATCTGCCCTCAGAAATTCATCCTTTCAACAGACATTCTGATTTTTGTATGTAAAAATTCATCTTTAATATCCAATGGTGTGGAAAAACAAATGTATGTTAAATGTAAAAAAGGTTTTCAATAATATGTTCCGGTTTAAAACTTGTGCCTAGTATGGGAGTTTTAGGTGAGGCAGAAAAAAAAAAGAGAAAATATTAGAATTGTATTTTGGCGTAGGAGAAAAGATAAAAATAAGAGAGAAGGTAAGTCAGCATGTTCGCTTTACAAATCTGTCCTCCTATACAAAATTACAAATAGGAGTGGTAACTAAATGTTTGTCTAATGGGTAAAGTAATATCGCACGAAAACTCAACGAACAAAAGTAGTTTTCTTTTCATTTCCGGCCACTTATAGGAAGAAAAGGCAGGAAAGGAACGCAAAGCATTTTAAATTGGTCAAATCTATTTCCAAAAAAAAAAAAAAAAAGTTAGTCAATCATTCCATTTCTTTTCTTTTTCTTCTCAACTTAAAATCCCCAAATGAAGGAAATTTTCAATATTCTATCCAAAATCATTTCTTTTTTCACCATTCCTTCCATTCAAACCAATGTATTGAAAATTAGGCCGACCCGCCTGATCCAACTAGTTGAACTCAATGTTTTGAAAATCGGATCGGATTGGTCGGTTCGATCGGTTGAACCGCGAACCGGCCATGGCACCGGTCCGATTTAATATCATAGTTGACTTTGTTAGAAAATCGGTCGAACCGTAAAAATCGCGGTTAAACCGCTATTGAACCGGTTTTCAACCTTTCTTTTTTTTTTTTTTGCAAAATGCAGCTATCAAGATTCAAACTCAATACCTTTGTAATAGAAGACCAATGTATTAACCATTGCACCATCACATCTTATTATTTTTTTTTGATAACTTATTTATATAAATCAAATACTCATATTTCTTTTTTTCATTTTTCTTACAAAATCCCATCCTCTCATGGCTCTTTCTTTTTAATTTTCAACTATCTCTCTCTCTATCATCTTTTTTTTTTGTCACTCCCTTTTTAATCAAACCTCTTTATTTTTAATTTATTGATGTTTTCTTCCATCTTTTAATTTTGTTTTTGTCCATTAAATTGAAAAAAAGTTATAAAAGAATTATTTTTTTAACCCAAATTATTTAATGCTACAACTACTCACTTTTATCTCATTTTTTTGTTTCTTATCAAGTTTACATTTCTATTTTCGATTTTCTTGACTTCCTTCGAACTCCAAACTTCCTTTTTTAAATTGCAATATCTAAAACGTAAATTAAAATTTAAGTTCACAATATCTAAATTCTCATAGACGTGAATTTTGTATAATTTCAAAATATTGTGATATTTTTTGGTTGGATTTAGATATAATTGAAATTGAGATAAAATTTATTTGTTTTAACTTATAATTTAAAAATTTTATTTTTAAAAAATCAAAGTTATTAAAAAATAGTAAACCTTTCGTCATATAAAGTATTAAATTAATCCATTACATGTCTTATTTTGTACATATATATATTTATATAAATAATTTTTTAAAAAATTCATTGAACCGAGATTGAACCGGTCCGACCGGTTGAATCTCGACCCTTTTACTTCACCGGTTCAATTAACGGTCCGATTTTTAAAACATTGGTTGAACTACAAACGGTCCGATTCTATATTTAATATAGAAAGTCAAATGAATTGTTCAAACCCGATTAATAATCGATTGGACCGATCAAAACTAATAAAAAAAACAGTCTTTCAATCGGCTTTTCGCTAAATATTTCTTTTATTTTTTATCTATTAAAATTATCTAAGTAATTTAATATTAAAATAATAAAAAAGGGATTGAACTAATCGAACCAACTGAACCCTGAACCAAAAGTTCATCTAATTCACTTGTTGGTTCGAGTTTCAAAATATTAATGCAGACACTTTTTCAGTATTGTGAAAAAATAAAAAGAAATTAAGCGAGGAGGACAAAAGCGTACTTGTCGGAGACATTCTAGCAGCTGATGCTCTTTTATTCAACGATTAACAAATAAATTTCTTAAAAACGTATAAACTGATTAAATTTATAAACGCACACACATTCTAATGTGAGAACTTTAAATAATGTAGGATTTGTAAATGGCACAATTTTTTTTGCCTATAGATGCACCTTAGTTTGGAAAAACGCTAAAAGGCGCGATGCGTTGAAGTTGGGAAAAGTGTAAGGATTGCGAGTCATTTCGAGTCAAATCTTGAAAACCTCCAATCTCAAGCCTTCGGCCCCTCTTTAGTCTTTACTGACGGCACCATGACATGGTGGATTCGATAATATCTTTTGATTTTGCAGGATTATAGTCCCGTGCGATCAATTACACAAACCCCACCAGGCAATCAGAAGTGGAGTCAACTGGG